AAGTTGGACAATCATTGGTTGAGTATTCATTTGTTTTATTGCTTTGACACACAATATCTTGAACAGATTTTAATTGACCACTCTTTTTTAATTCTAGTGCCTCGACTTTTCTAGCTAAAGATGCAAACTTGGCTTGGAGGTCATGATCTTCCCTAAGGTTGTACATACCTCCACTAAATATATGAGATTGATTTTTACTTGGTGCCTCATAAGTGCCTGTAGTGTCCCAATTTTGTGTATTTTTAGCTAGCAAGTTTAGGTACTTCATTGCTTCATGAGAGTCTTTATCTTCAAAAGTTTTATTGCACATCAATTCAACCATTTGTCTATCTTTAGGTGTTAACCCTTTATAAAAGAGTGAAACCAATCTCCATGTTTTAAAACCATAATAAGGGCAAATATTAAACAAGTCTCGATACCTATCCTAACATTGGTAAAATGTTTCTTCTTGTTTTTGAGTGAAAGTTGTAATTTGTCTTTTGAAAGAGTTTGTTCTATGAGAAGGGAAAAACTTCTTTAAAAATTGTTGTTTCATTTCATCCCAAGCATGAATAGATCATAGTCTCAAATTTTGTATCCATGTTTTAGCTTTATCTTTCAATGAAAAAGAAAAAAAACTTTAATTTGATAGTGTTGCAGACCTCCTTAAATTCCCTTAAATGCAAGTATGAAAATTTTCTAAATCTAAATCATGAAAAAAAGGTAAAAGTTGAATAATGTCTGGGTTAAAATTAAAATGAGATGCATTAGAGAGAGAAACTATGCATGATGGTGCACTTGTTCTTGTGAGATTTATGTGGTCTCTAAGTGTTTTAACACAGTTATTCTCATTATGAAGTGACTCGTTATCTTCTTTGACTATATTTTCTGAAAATGGTGAGGATACCCTATAAAGTTTACCACTTAATGTATGTGACCAAACTCTCATACATGTGTAGGAATAGAAAAAAAAACAAAAAAAAAAGAAACAAAACAAAAAATACAAAGTTAGATACAAGAAAAGTGAAAAGAAAAAATAAAATAAATACTATAATTTGTATAAGAATTTACCTCCATAGCAACGGTGTTAGAAACTTGACATGACTAAAAGATTGATATCTTCTCCTAAATGCTAGAGTGCCGAGGTAATAAATAACCCGGCAAGACCGTAGTCAAACCACAAGGCGGTTAATTGTATAAATTATAAATAACAATAATACAATAACAACAACAACAACAACAACAACAACAACAACAATAACAATAAGAATAGTAGTAGTAGTAGTACTAATAATAATAATAAAAAAAAATGAAAAGAAGAAGAAGAAGAAGTTGATGAGAACTTTGAGATGGAAGATCAATATGAGGATTAAACAATGGTAAAAATAAATATCAAGATTAGAAGATCCACTAATGATATTTCAAACAATATAGTATAAACTCTTATTATTTAATTGGAATCCACACACAAAAGAGATTCCAATCAGATTATAAATTTTTAACATGATTATATTAGTTATCTTATTCGAATAATGTTAATACTTGTAAATATTGTCAGGTATTCATGATTATAACTTATGTTAACAAAAATCAAGTTCCTTTCATAGCACAAGTGTTAGTTATACCATACGGTTAGGCTATGAAAGTGTCACGTATTTGTTGTACCAAGTGTTATACAACACAAATCTAGATTAACTATTTAATAAGTAAAATATTAGAAGTGAACAAGATAACAAATATAAAACATGTTTGTATCAAATATTAAAGTTCATATTAAGTTTACACTATACTTATTCTTACACCATTAGTGTAACCTTTTCACCTTGACATAATAAACTTAGCTAGACCTAATGAAAGAAAGAAAAATAAATAAACAAAAAAAGAACAACACAATAAAAAAGAGAAACATAAATAAATAAGATAAGAACATAAATAAGATAAAAGTTAACTAAGTAAAATGAAAAGCATAAATAAGATATTAATGAAAGCAAAACTTAAACATTATAAAAATACCAATAGAGAAAGCAAGAGCATGATCTTAATCTCAAAACCAAGATACCTAAATGCATGGCAAATGCCTCTTTTTATAGGCCAAAATTGGAAACAATTGATTTGTTGACTAATTATTGAGTGGGTGACCAACTCTTGACTTGGTGATAATCCTTATCTTCTTGTCTGAATAAAACATCATTAATAACATTACAATTTAAACTAACCTTACTCATGAAAGTTTTAGGAAATTATCTCATCTTTCTAGAAAAAAAATTAAGGTTATTTGGACTTCTAGAACTCGAGATAGAGACTGAAAACTGAATAGTGTCTGAGTTGCAGGATAGATTTGGACTTTTACATTGTTGCTAAGATTTGGACTTTCAAATAGTAGAATTGAGTCTTACCTTCCGCATGAAAGTTTTAGGCCTATATTATAGCTTTCCATCCATATAAAGCAGACCTAAATCCGAGATTTATAACTTCAGATATAACCCAATTGCTGAATAATGTTATTGCTTGGATTGCACCAACATCTCTTTTCTAGTTGACCCTCTCTTTGTCCTTTCAATTTTAATACTTTAACTCATCAATCAATCCTTTTATTTATGTAATAAGCTTGCATTTATGATGAATATTTACCATAAATTAAATGTATCTTATGGTATCAGACTTGTATTGTAAAACATGCTTTAGTTAAGAAATTATTGATACTTTAAGTGCAAAATGATGATATAAAATCTTGATAAAAATGCACTTTTAAGTACTAATCAATATGTATGTGTGTGCGCATGCGTTACAAGTTACCTATAATAGTTATTGAACTATTGTTTGTTGTTACATTTCTATTAATTCCTAATGATTGAAAGATTAGGGTTCAAGTTTTGAATCCTAACAGCTTAATTTTAAGTTGTTTATACTTAAAAGCATCTCAAAAACATTATAAAACCTCTATAAACCACTTACTATCCCTAAAATATCCTAAATTACTAAAAAAAATGAATAAAAAAAAATCTAAATGGATCTCATTCTAATTTTTCAAATATGTTTATAGGTAAAAAACCATCACCATTAAATTTTTCTTGTCGAAATATAACCAACCAAATGTTTTCTTCCTCAACCACTATTTTTTTATGACTTTATTCCTCATCTTTCAAATTCATGGACTAATATGTAAAGAAAAGAAAATTTTATATCAAAATGAATTATTCTCAAACTAGAGGGACCAAAAAATAATTTTGACAAAATACTAAGGAATAAAGAAAGGCGTGTTTTGAATTGTTAAAAAACACTTTGTTGAATTCATGATGTCTTTGTGTTTTTAATATTTTTTAATTAACAAAATCAAAATTATTTTTGTAAAATTAAACATCAACAAGGTATGAGATCTTGTTTTTAACATCCCTATAATCCCATGACAAAGTAATCAAAACAAATTCAACAAAATGTACAAGGATAGTGATGTGATTCAAGCATCAAAGGATCCATTTGAGATTTCGATTGGTCCAATTACAAGGCTTATAGTTAAGAGGTTCAAATAGGCTTTCAATGGATTTTTTTTCAAAATATATAGATTAAGATGGACTTCAAGACAATATTAAATTAAGGAGCAAGACATGATTAATTGTATTCATGTTTAAGAGAGGCTTGTTGGTGAAACCCAGACCATTATGCAAGGATTAAAAAAAAAGACTAGATTCAAATAATTTAACTTTTGGCTACCTTATTTATCATAACTGGAACAACAAGTTGAATTTTAATGTGATTCTAGTTAGGTTAGAAACTATATTTTCATATATTTTTAACAGTATATGATATATCTTTTAATTTTTTTTAAAAAAATTATCTATTTAAAGTTGATGATATATCTTTCAATTTTTTTTAAAAAAAATTATCTATTTAAAGTTGAGCTATGATGTTGCTAAAATGTGAAAATTTAGGTTCCTTTTAATTTTATCTTCACTGTAGTTTAAGAGGGAAATTTAGGGTAAGTTTTCTAAACATTAATTGGAAACTGGGATGGGAGTGACTTAACAAAGCCGAATATCCTTGGTAGAAAATCTCTTTATAGATTTGAAATTACTCTCATATTTCTTCCGTACTTGAGTGCCGAAAATAAAATAAAAATTAAAATAGAAGAAGAATATTTTAAAATTCATTTATTATCAACTTGAAGAAAAGAAAAATTTGAAGCTTTACAATCACACACCTGAAAAAAACAGGTGTTGATGAGATCAGAATCGAACCTTCCACGTTAAACTCCCTAAAGACCGCACGGTAATATCCTGGGGATGCGACTTCAGTAGCGTTACCTACAAAACCACAGAATCCTCCGCAGCCGCGTCGTTCATCACGTTAAGGGTTCTAGTTTTAGAGTTCTTCTTTCCTTGCTTCGTCTCCAATCTCAACAGGTAGCAAGCAAGCAAGCAAGCTAAGGTTAGCTCTCTCTCTCTCTCTCTCTTTCCCCCTCCGGTTTTTTTTTTTTTTTTTCTTACTGCTATATTTATGCTCTCTTCTCTGTTTCATAATTCCTACCTTCTATTAGATTTTGATTTTCATACTAAAAATATATTTTTTTAAAAAAAACCCCAACTTGCTTGCGTTTGCCTGGAAAACGTAGCAAAAAATTTAGCCTGAGAACAATTAATTTGGCGACTTTTTTTAAGATATATACACTTTCTTTGGTTACTAAACAATGCATATCAATTGAGAATTTTCATCTTTTTTCTCTGCCCATGACAATTATGAAGAAAATGACATTCCGAGATATTCTCAAGTTTGAACCATTTGCTGCATCTTATGTGGGAATTCAGGTTGCTGGCTGTGGCCCTTTTGTTTTGCTGATTTTGAGCTAGATGTTCTGTTGTCTGTCGATGTTATTTGTTTGTTACTCTTCTATTCTCCAGTCAGTTGACTTACATCAGTTGGTCTTCAAAACCATTAGTGAATTCGAGAATTGTTAGTTGGCATTCTTGTTTTTTTAATGGATTGTAGTAAAACAACAGGGTACCAAACTTTTAGCTTGATTCAGTATGCCCAATAAGAGTTCTTCCAAGAAACCTGTACAAGAAAAAGAAAATGCAGATGTACAGCAGGCAAAACCCTCATCAACACCAGAGAAATCAGGTAATGAGATTGATGATATCTTCTCTGGAAAGAAGAGGAAGAAACCTGAACAAATAAAGGCTGATAAGGCAAATGTAAATGGAGAAGAGAAACCGAAATCGATGAAGAAAAAGAAGAAGAAGAGTAAAGAAGATGAAGAGAGAAGATTTACTGACCCGCCTTCTAAGTCTCGAATGAAAACAGAAGATGGATTCAGCATTTATACAGAAGAGGAATTGGGTTTTAACAATAGCAGTGGTGGAGGTACCCCTCTTTGCCCATTCGATTGTGATTGCTGCTTTTGATGATTCTTACTGATGGGCGTAGCCGCTTTCTAGATAGAATGGAGTTATTGAGATATAAACGTAGTTTTGTAATTATTTATTGTGGTTTGGACGCTTTAGCTTGCAGAAAATCTACGTGCAAAATTTTCCTGTACACTAGAATTTTGGTTGCATGAAACTTGATATTATTGAATCGATTTTGCCAGTTTATTTTTAGAACTCGTTTACCAGGGTGGATTTGTTATATCTTCGATATGCCTCTGATGTGATCCATTAGCAATTCCTGTACTTGTTCTTTTGTGATGAATTGGCTATCGGAAATTCATCAGGCACCATGTGTGGTATCTGATATGAATGAATGCTTGCAGCTGTGACTGAGTGGTGGTTATGGTTGTCATCTTCGAGGATTGTTTTGAGTATAATTCCCGCTCCTGTGAATCAGCTTAAAGGAATTGCGAGTTATAAAATGTCCTCGGTTGAATCAGATTCACTAGATGAGAAAAATACTTGTGCATGCTTTCATATCAAATGCAATATATATATATATATATATATTTCCATTTTCTGATTGACTCAGCTTGCCTTTTTGTCCATTTGGTAGTGAATCGAAATTTATTAAGTTGAATTTCCAACAGTCATATAACTGGCAGTTGAATTCTAAACTTCTCACCTGCAGTAGCAGATTGAAACTAGCAGGAAATGTAAAACCAGCTACAAATCTCGTTAACTCTGTTGGAACTCCAAAAATGTCCACATGTTGTGCCTATGTCATTTCTAAATTTTGTTTTCTCACTTGTTGACCCTTCCAGCTTATCTTCGCCTGCCTGTTTTGTGTCCTATGCTTCTGTTTATCCATTCCTCCTTCCCAGAATTGGATTGTGTTGGTTTGTAGCAGGCAAGCTGGCATACTTTACTCCCACGAACAACATTTGGTTCCTCAGCTGGAAATTCTTCTCAATGTTCAACAGTTTGAGCAACACTTAATTTGGTGATTTCATTAGCACTCAAATGCATTACTTAAAAGACATGACTAACAAACTACCCGTGCATGCTTTTATAATCCACGCAACTTCTGTTTCCATTCTGTGATTGATTGATTATGCCTATTCTGTCCGCGAGGCTGTAAACTGAAACGTTTTTATAATTTTCATGGTCATTTCCATACACTGGCGGGGCTTTTGCATTTTAGCTGCTACAGTACAGGGTTTGGAAGGAAGAAAATTAATGTCGAAGTAGAGATCATAGTAATTATTTTGGAACTCCCCAAACGCTGAGCGTTGCTCCTGGTTTCTCCTCATCATCTCTTGACAGTTCAGGTTTCCATTTATCTTTTCCTTCATCCGATCCTTCACAGAACTGGATTGGATAGCAAGTCTTTGCACGTTTGCATGCTCCACTCCCATTCTCATGAATATCGTTTATGGTATTTCCACTGAAAAATAGTCCCTTGTTCAACAGTAGGAGCAAGCCTCAATTGGTGCGTTCTGATTAACTCCCCAGAATCGGGCTTCCTCCTTGCTTGGTTTTTTTAGAGACGGTGGTTAACTCGCGTGTTTGTGATTGCATGTTCAATTTTCCGGCTGGTTTTCTTTCCTTCGAATCAAGCACTTCATACTACTTTATAGCCTGAAGCAAAACGCACCATTAATCTCAAGGCCAAGAAAAGCTTGTAGAATCGAGGATTTCAAGTCACACGAACCCAACAACTACATCAATGCGCACTCTGGTCCCACAAAGGCAGGATAGAAGTTCAAAGCACTTCACAGATTCTCTGGTTTGGTCCAAATGAAAGCGTTTAGCTAAAGTATATGATTTGCTCAATGGAAGTCCAAATACAGTTCTGCACCAGATCAGCAATGGAATCAAATCAAAAGCTCATCCTCAATCTCACCGTTGATGAATAGCCGGAATCACCAACTTGACATTTGGGTGCGGTGCTGTCTAAAGATGAATATGTCTAACAAATTGAAAACGACAAAAAAGAGAAACGAGGAAATGTTTATTTGAAACGACTGCAAAAAGACCAATTTCAAACATTGTAAGAAAGACCATTAGGGGATTTAGCTGCTTAAAACTCGAAGGAAGCCATGATCAAGCAATGACCCACCCCGATCGTGAAAGCAGCTCAATTTAGGCACCATGCAAAAGGTGATTTGGCATCAAATAAACCAATAATCACCCGTGTCTGACTGGGTGCCTCCAATTTGTGTTCTTTTAAGAATAAAATCCTTTCAATTAAAAACAAAGAAGAGATGTAACCGGATTATTGTGTCAAGAAACAACAATGAGTTCCAAGGTATCTTCATCCGGGCAAAACTGAATTTTGGCTCCAAGCGGCAGTCAGATCGCCATGGATCGGCGCCTGCTGTTGACTCTGTTATGGAGCCCATCCATACAAATTAGAGAAATTAGATTTATGCTTACATATAAAAACAAGAAAATAATCATGTCGCAGCATTCTAGCATTGAAAATACAAAGGGGGAAGAAACAGAGACGTGCCGTTGCGTGGTGCAGGAAGTAGAGCACGCGTGATGTTCTTTAGGTGATTAGCACTAGCTTATATAGTAGTTCGCAAAAACCCTAAAACAAAGCCGGACTTGCATTTACCAGTTTAGACAAAGGGTTTGCACATGGAGTATCTCTTAGACAAGGGTAATTTAAGGAACTAAAAATCGGATTCCACCAAAACGACGCGGCTTTGAGAACCTTCTTCCTTGCAGCAGCTAATGGACAATTCTTTGTGTTTAGACAGCTTTCTTCCTTCAGTTTTGGAGTTGATACGACAATTATAAGGTTACAGTGCAGGATATTATAAGACATCCTTGGCTGTTTCGGTTTCTTCAGAGACCTTTGGCAAAATTAATCTCCGTGCTCCGTGCTCCGTAAAGTAAAGAAGGGTATGCTTCTATTGGAGGGGGCTCCCCTTTGCGTAAAATTACAGACGAGATGGTAGAATGCATGTCCTCTTTAAGAATTAGGATTCAAGTTTTCTTTCAGAAAACCATGTTTTGGTCATTCTGCTGCTTTCTTTCCTCAATCAGTTTTATTTGTGCCACTGCTTCTTCCTGTAGACAATTGCATTCACACTTTGAGAAAATTGTTGCAGGCTGATGGGATCGAAATGGCTTTGCAAGCCAACAAGGGTTTGACCGCCAGTGTTTATGTCGGGATGCGTTACCGGCAGGTACCCTTTCACTGAAGAAGCAATTCATCAGGTGAGACTTAAACCTTTCTACAAATTATCAAATCCTTTCAAAATAATTGTGAATCTCCTAATTACATAAGCTTTTGATTGCAGACCTATCTAACTTGTATTTTTAATTTTTTCTGACACATTAAGAGGGATAGGATAGCAAAGCTTGTTGTGTTGCCTCTTTATCCTCAGTTCTCCATATCCACAACTGGGTCGAGCCTCCATGTTCTCCAGAATATATTCAGGTGTTATATTTGTATAAATTTCTTGCTTTCTTTTTGCAGCACATTGAAAGTATTACCTAAAACCTCTCTGGACGTGAGTGAACTTTCAGAGAAGATGCATTTCTATCATGGCTGCCAGTTGCGATTGTACAGTCTTGGTATCAATGAGAAGGTTATATCAAGTCTATAGCTGACTTGATTGGTGAAGAGCTACAAAAATTTGCTGAGCCTGAAGAAGTGAGTTCAATTATTGAATTATTTTTATGCATAATTCTGTGGCGCCCAAAAACATTCTATGTTTTAGGTAGGCGTGCACTGGTTATTCTGACTCTTTCTTCTTTTCTATGGATTCTTAGGTATATATATATTTTTTTAGATGAACGTGGGTGTTCGGGTCAGCTTGCGCGCACCATGACTAATCCCACGAGCCTTGAAGTTAACGATCATGTAAGCCTTCAGTGGTCATCATATGAGCAACCAAGGATTCGAACCTGAGACTACAGAGAGAGACTACAGAGGAAGCAAACTCTTTAATTTTAAGTCCTTAGGTATATATTTTTCAGTGCCCATGTAGTGGCCATTGAGTTACGTGCAGGATGCAGGAGATCCTTACAAAGATCAGATGGAGGAGTGCATCTACTTAATAACGCAAGAGTTAAAAGCCAGAGGATTTCACAATGATCATACTCTTGCTTATCAGGTTGGTTATACTATCTAAGTTCACAAGGTTTACAACTCAGTATTGCTCCAGGTATATGAGTGCTATACTGGGTTGCTGTCTATTTTACTTGAGCATGCTTTCCTTATCTCCATCATTAGGTTGTACCTTTAACTATGTTTATTATTGCTCATATCTTGCAATATGACCTATTATCCCTCTTTTATTTTATTTTTACCTGACCAGAGCCGAGTTGGACCTGTACACTGGCTGAAGCCCTACACTGATGAAGTTCTTGTTGAGCTTGGCAAGAGAGGTGTTAAAAGTCTTCTAGCTGTACCTGTAAGGTATGCAATTGGCAGTTTCCTTTTTCATGGAATTAATCGCTGTCATTCAGGCACCTTTCAGTAGATTTATGCATTCCACATTGATCCAAGTATATTACATCACCAACTTTAACGATTTGTTGGGTTGGTATCTTAAACAATGAATGTTCTCATGATGTGACTTCTTTCATGATGATCGGCATGTTGATACACTGCGTTACAATCAGTGGAGTCCAGAAACTTGTGATTATTAAATGAATTCTTGACTCTGAAGATAACTTTGCTTTGTTTGTATATAAAAAGAATGATATTTGACCAATCCATTAGTGTTTTGGAGTCCAAGCAGTCAAGTATGAGTTCCCATCAATGCGCTACAGATGCTACTTTGAAGAATGTCTCGTACCAAAATACTTAATGGTATTATAGGGCTTACAACATGCGGGGTGCTGATCTTTTGAATGTTTCATGCATCTATGAACCTGAACTGTTCCTGTATGTCATGAAATTCTATTAAATATGGACTACTGGTCCTACTGCACGGACGGTATTTTGGATTTGACAGCGCAAGCTAATTTTCCTCACTGGATTGGTACACATTGTGTCCAGACTGAAGGCCCTTGGTCTCATGCACGATGTATTCCTTCTAAGTTTTAGTGTGACAAGTTGAAATCTGTTTAGCTGGATAGAACAGCACACTCTTGCTCTAATTTAATTCAAATGAGAACTTTAATATTGACCTCCTGTTATATGAATTGGAATAGCAGTTTTGTCAGTAAACACAGAGACACTTGAAGAGATTGATATGGGATACAAGGAGTTGGCGCGTGAATCTGGAATTGTGAATTGGGGCCGTGTACCTGCTCTGGGTTGCACCTCATTCTTCATCACAGATCTGGCACATGCAGTGGTAGAAATTTTACCTTCAGCTAAAGCCATTTGAACCACATTGAGCACCTCTGAAGAAGGTGATCATGACTTTGTGAGCTATGCTATTAAAACGATCTTTGGTCCGTTCTTAGCATTTGTCACTTTTGTCCCCAAAAGTGTTTCTGGCATTCAGGAACCATCTCTTCTAAATTAAAGGAAATCTGATACAGGCTGCTGAGTAGCAAATTATAACTGCTGTAGATATTTTTGCAGAATCCCCCTTCTTAACCCCGTCCATATTTGATTCTATACAAGGCAGCCATTAGAGTATATGATCTGTAATCAGTAGAATCACTGTGGAGTACATTCGAGTTGCATGCTTCCTTGAGATACACTACGGATCATCTCCTTGTTATTTATGGTTCACTCTTGTTGAACTGCATGCTTGAGGTATTTTGCTCTGTTGCTGCTCCAGTGATTGCACAGTAAGTTTCCTCCAAGAGGAACAGGACATTTAATAGAAGTGCCCAAAACGCTGACACTGGCCAACAGCACAAAATACTATCATTTTCACATTCAAGCTCATATTGGAAAAACAATTCAAGTGCTACGGCAACCATTTTGGCCACAAACAAAAGCTGCATAACTAGTTTTCCAAGCTCTTTTGGCCACGGATTGTTTATCAGATATGAGCATCAGTAATGCATAAAAGCAGCAAACATATATTTCAATTCCAGGGTGCTATAGTTTCCACGCAAGTGAATCAACAGCCTTATCCAGTAAACCATATCAATTTCCTGAAAATGCCATGGTTCTGAAATTTTTAAATCTTGGGCTGGAACTCAAGCGCAGGACTCAGTCATTATCAACACACCACCCCCCAAACAAACACTGCTCTTAAGGCATGGTATCACAAACAAGAAACAGTACATGATAATTTTCATCATTGCAATTAAAAATAAGAAAGTAACTCATCTCTAGGAAGAAAGTTTTCCCTGTAAGAATTTTCCGAGACATTATTCTGAGCAAAAGAAATCGGGCCTAAGGGACAGCTGCCTGGCACATGGGCAAATGCAAAGATAAATTTAAAATACAGAAGATCGCAGAAATGAGTTTTCCTGGCCAGTTTTTCTATTTTTATGCAGGATAGTAAATTTAGTATATATGCAATAGTCAATTGCCGACAAGATGAAGGGGAAAAAAGGAAATCTCAAGCTTGATCAGTTCAACTCCAAAGCATTTACTTCTTGTTTCAGGACTTAGACATAGTAGCCAGTGAATGTAAACCCTCGACCAACTATCTCACCAGCGCAGAACCAAGCAAAACACTCCAGCCCAAACAGAGCAGCAATGCCAGCATCCTCAACCTTCAACTCCTGCCTGTGCTTCCAAAGGTGTTTGACATAATCAAGCTCCTTCCAAAATGCTTCAGAACGCACAGGAATACTGTTTCACATACCCAAATAAATGGATTAATATGAGAAATACATGTCTAAGCACAAAGTGCATGAACTATTGCCTCTCTCACTTCTGCATACAAGAAATGTTCTATAGATTCGCTAAAAAGATGCTACTTCAAACTATGCAAGCAAACAATTTTTATGAAAGGAATGTGTTCTTTTCCCTTGGTTCACAACATAATACTGATTTGAATACTCGTGGAATATGTACAGTCAACACAGGTTAGGTGTTTTTAAATATTTTCTCTGGTTTCAGATATACATCTTGTAGGCACCTCTATGGAATCTATCCTTGGCATCCCTACAATATTTCGCGTTTCTAAAACAAAATTATTTGTCAAAATTTCCATGAGATTCAACCAGTTAGGAATTCAAAACATTAATGATGTCATCTAAGTCTTCCAGACAAGGAAGAATCGAATGATATAGAAAACTATCAATGCGATTGCCATACTCCTTTTTTGAAAACACATTGGTTCATGACCTTCAGAAAACATGAATATGACAGGAGAAATAAAACAACATATACACATTGCTTTATGAATATCCTATTCTGATACCTGGAACAAATTCACATATCAACTAGATCTAATAATAAGAAACATGCATCAAGAAAAGTAATGCATGATCAGGTTCAAAAATATGCTAGCTGACAATATATACAGCACAATATTACATAACCATCCTAGAAGAAAACAAAGGATATATATATATATATATATCTATATATGCGAGCTGGAAACAGTTTTAAGTTATGAAAGTGTCTGATTCTCCATTTTATAGTATTGGAAATAGTTTAAGCTGTATCTACAGAAGGTCTGACCTTCCATTGGCTCATGAAAGATTCATTTCCAATACATCATCGTTTACTATTACAACAACAGTTCTTGATTAATGCACATAGATTTTCGTATTTCAAGCATCAGTGGGAATAAAATTATCAGCAATGCCTTCTTACCTTCAAGGAGCTGCCATTTGAAATGGCCAACTTGATTATTACTATCTAGGTTCAATTAAGTAAGTTGTGAAATCCATTCTTCTCAGAACTAATGTACAAAGTTCTTAGGCAGTTCATTGATGCATTCTCATAGCGGGATGAAATTCATTCCCTGAATGAGAAATGAGGCTTAAGCTCGATAATTCTTTCTCTGTACCTAAAACCACTACTTGGCTTACCGATGTAATCCAAGCAATTCACATGGACACCCACGCAAGCAAATGACATGACATGATCTATGGAATATGCTTACAGATTGAGCTAGTCAAATACTGTTTCGTAGGCTAAAACACAATCTATGCCACATTGTCATAATTGCTGATTCCATACATCAGCTTAATTTAGGACTCAAATGCAATGCAAACAACCCAAAACAGATCCGAAGTTGATGGTTAAGATCAGACAGATCATCCAATCCCAAATTTCACAATTAAGCATAAAGAGCCACCTAGTACGAGGTTCCACACAATTCAGAATTTTGCAGGCATCTGCAACAGTTTGATAACCTAACAATTGAAGACATTCACAAGGTCTTCGATACGAGAAATCCCAACTAGAGAAACAAGTAAATGATGCAAATACAATATCACAGAAATCCAAGATAACAGTGGCAAACTTAAAAATCTATGAAGCATGCAATAAATCGATATCATGTATATGTCCAATTTTTTTGTAGTGGGCAACAAAATCATGGAATTGGAGTAAGAGAGACCGACCTGGCAAGGCGAGTGTAAAACAATTGCTTGGACAAAAGATTGCATTTCTCAACGGAAGGTGGGTCCTGGATATACTGCTTATTCTGTTCTAACAACTGCTTGTAATAAGCACTACCGTGTTTAGACACGAACTTTGAGGCTTGACAAGCCTTGGATTGCAATTGAGTTAGCTTTGATGCCATTCCTGC